AAGCTGTAGATCTGAATTTCATTTGCTCTTTAACCTGAGGTATTTCAAAACCTATGCTTCCCTGCTTCCCAGAAAAGTGTTTCAAGTTCCACACTACAGTTTGTCCAGGATAAGGGAATTCCTGCACCTTTTTAGGAAACTGAACGAGTTCACTAAAGAATGACCTACTGGACAGAGGAAATAAAAATCTATTCTAGCTATAAAGGTATTTTAACAGTGTGTAATGTGACTTGAGGAAAAGACTCCATTTATATGGATTCCTTTCTTTTTTTAATCCATAGAAGTATTTTCAGAAATGGCTTGCAAAAAAGTGAACTGAAAATCGTGGTTCAGTTGACCAAACTGGAATGACTTCTAGATACTACAATAGATTAAACATTCTCAAAGACACATACGCCCAAAGTCTGAATAACTAAAATCTGCAAAATGGTTTAGGAAGCTTTTTTTAAACTAATACTGCTACTTTTTCTTTGCAAATACAATTGCAGAGCAGAGGATATGACTAAATAAAGAAATTACTAAATATTCTGGAAGCAGCTGGGAGGAGTCATACGATCACTCGCCCTTGTTCTCACAGGGGACTTCCCAGATGTCTGCTGAAAATACAATACAGGAGAGAGGAAACAGCCTAGGAGATTCCTGGTGTGTGGAAGATAACTTCCTGACACAGCTGCTGAGTGAGTCAACTAGGGAAGGCATGCCACTGGACCTGTAGCTTGCAAACAGAGAAGGATTTGTGCTTGGTGTGATGATTGGAGGCCATCTTGGACACAGCAATCACGAAATTATTATTTTTGATTCTTGGAGAGGTAAGGAGGAGGGTCAGTAGAACTGCTACCTTTTACTTCTGGAGGGCAGACTTAGGCCTACTTACGAGACTGATTGACAAAGCACCTTGGGAGGAAGTCCTGAAGGTCAAGAGTCCAGGAAGGCTGGACATTCTTCAAGAAGAAAATCTTAAAAGGTGCAGAAGCAGGTCATCCTTATGTGCCAAAAGATGAGTTGGCAGGAAAGATGCATGTTCTGGCTGAACAGAGAGCTTTGGTTGGAACCAAAAAACAAAGGGGAAAAAGAAAGGGAAAAAAGAGAAGAGGTTATGGCCTTTGGAAGAAGGGAAAGAAAACTCATGGGGACTACAAAGATGTCATTAGGCTACGAATGGAGAAAATCATAAGAGCCAAAGCCCAACTAGAACTTAATCTGGCCACTGCCATAAAATACAAATACATTAGCAACAAAAGAAGGGCTAAAGAGAATCTCCATCCTTTACTGAATAGGGGCAAAAAAATACATGACAAAGTAATGAAAAGGATGAGGTACTTAATGCTTTCTTTGCCTCAGTCTTTAGTAAGACATCTGTGGATGTCATCTACCTAGACTTCAGTAAAATCTTTTACACAGTTTTCCACAGCATTCTTTTGGAGAAACTGGCTGCTCATGACTTGGATGACTGTACACTTAGCTGGATAAAACCAGCTGGATGGCTGGGCCCAAGAAGCTGTGGTGAATGGAGTTAAATCCTGTTGGTGGCTGGTCACAAGTGGTATTCCCCAGGGCTTAGCGTTGGGGCCAGCTCTCTTTAACATCTTTTCCAGTTATCTGGACAACGGAATCAAGTGGATCTCCAGTAACCTTGAAGACAACCAAGTTGAGTGGGAGTGTTGATCTGCCTGAGGGTAGGAAAGCTCTGCAGAGAGTCTTGGATGGGCTGGATCAATGGGGTTGAGGCAAACTGTATGAGATTTAACAAGGCTCGGTGTTGAGTCTTGCACTTGGGTCACAACAACCCCATGCAACGCTACAGGCTTGGGCAAGAGTGACTGGAAAGCTGTTCTCTAGAAAAGGACCTGTGAATATTGGTCAGGAGCTGACTGAATATGAGCCAGTAATGTGCAAAGGTGGCCAAGAAGGACTATTGCATCCTGGCTTTTATCATAAATAGTGTGGCCAGCAGGACTAGGGAAGGGATTGCCTCTCTGTACTCAGCCCTGGTGAGGTCACACCTCAAATACTGTGTCCAGTTTTGGGCCCCTGGCTATAAGAATGACATTGAGGTGCTGGAGTGTGTCCAGAGAGTAACAACGAAGCCGGTGAAGGGTCTAGAGCACAAGTCTTACGAAGGGCAGCTGAGGGTACCAGAGTTTAGTCTAGAGAAAAAGAGGCTGAGGGGATACTTTACCATTCTCTACAACTACCTGAAAAGAGGTTGTAGCAATGTGGATGTTGGTCTCTTCTCCCACATTACAAGGGATAGAACATGAGAAAATGGCCTCAAGTTGTGCCAGGGGAGGTTTAGACTAGATATTAGGAAAAACTTATTCACCAAATGAGTTGTTAGGTACAAGAGCAGGCTGTCCAGGGAAGTAGTAGAGTCACCATCCCTGGATGCATTTACAAGATGGGTAGGTGTAATGCTTAAGGACATGGTTTAGTGGTGGACTTAGCAGTGCTAGGTTAACAGTTGGACTTTATGATCTTATGGAGATGATGATCTTTTCCAACCAAAACGATTGGGATTGCAAGATTATTCAGGTGTACAGATTTACAAAGAGAGGCCATTCTAAAGTGAGATTAGAGTGCATAGAAACAGCAGACTCAGTTTAACTCTTAATTCAGAATCAGAGGATGATAAAAATATTTGGTCCCTACTCAACAGCAAACATGATGAACCTATAACAACTTCCACTTCTACTTTATTTTCAAAGAAAAAAATATTAGCATTTGATGCCACTGAATTAATCTTCAATGGTCCTTTTCAGGGTTGCCTCTGAGAACACAGACTTTTCTACTGTTCAGGTTGGAACAGACAATTACATTTCAACTTCTTTGTGTTGTTTTTCTTGGTCTTTTTTTCTTTGTATTGTGAAATATAATAGTCACCTGTCAATTCTATTTGGACTAAAGATGAATTGTTTGGCTTCACTGTGCTCCATCAGTGAGTCCACAGCATTGTAGGAATACCCTAGAAACCAATGTAAAACCATTAACTATATTGAAAGCCTAAGAATCAGAACAGTTTTAGAACCAGAAACTGGATCCCTGCCCAACAGGATTTCTCTTCTAGGCCCTGCTACAATCCTCCTGAAAAAGCATCATGACCTAACAACATTCTCACATACCCCACTGTATGATCTTGTTTCTTTTATGCTAACAGGAGTCTTGTTGCATACTGTGCAACCTTGTTGTTAATTCATTACATATTAACTGTTGCTTATAAATGCATTATTTGAAGTCTGAAGAAATACATGCATAAGTAGCTTCCCTTTACTCTGTTACCAAAGCATCACTGGCTCTACCATATTCTTCCTTACAGCCTAAATCTGCATTTGTTAGCTCCCTGACACGCACTGTATAGATGTTCTTTCCAGCTGAATTTCTTCCATCTTGTGTTCTGTGTTTTTGAGGGGCTTAATTCCAACAGAAACTTCCTAAAATGGCAGAAAGATAAAAACCTGCCCTGAGAGAAACAGCAGTTCACATTTGGGGGCAGTGGGGTGGACAACACACAGATGGACACTGGACAGGACACACACAGAAAACCCCAAACTAAACAAAACAATTTGTTCAGGACAATAAAGGTTTGGAAAACATATTCATGAGCTCAGTTTTGGACAGGAAGAGGAGCACAGACATTTGAAGCCTTCTACCAGAAGTGGAAGTGAAACAAGGCTTGCCCAGGGGAAGTAGGAGACAGACCACAAACAGATCAGGACACTGATGGCTGTGACAGTTTCATATGCATGCTGGAGAAATATTAAACTAACCTTCAGTTCTGAATATTTTATTACCCTCAGATTCTGAAGGCAAGCTGTCAATGTTGAAAGTACTAAGAATTAAGAGAAAATTGTCAAAAATCTCTAAATGCAAGTAAGCTCCTCAAAAACAGCCTCAGTAAATCTAAAAAAGGTTCTAAAGGGAACTACTGCAAAGTGAGGAAGGAACTGCAGGTGCACATAGCTATGCAGGAACACAGGGTACTCTGCTAATAGCACTACGCCTCGCTGAAACAACTGAGTCAGCAGAATTTCTATTTATATGCTCTCTTCCTACAACAGTCACAGTCAAGGCAGAAAACTCAGCAGTCCAGCCTAAAAGGAGAAACTGGTATGCTTGAGAAACTATCAGTACTACAGTGTAAGAAGTAATTCTACCTTTTAAGCTTACACAGAAGTAAAAAACTGATCAAGAACTCTTTTCTGCTAATAAAGTCATTAAGATGAAAGTTTTGTGCTTTCCCCATCTCTGTTTCTCCCCCTTCAGAAGTCTGTTTTGTACACAAGTACCCAAGCAAGCCTAGAAAGTTAATTTTGTCTTCCATTGGTCGGCAGATAGAAATGGCTGAGATCCTATACTAGTCTTCCTTTTGTAAAGGCTGCCTTTCATGATGCTATTTAGGACAAATTTGTTACTGGCATTTTATTTAATGTAGTTGGTAAGTGAATACTGCTTATGTGTTCATCAAACCAGATCAATTCTTAGACCTGTTAGCTGCATGATTTCTTCCAATAGAGAAGTTATTTTCATGTTAAATGGCTACTTTTTGTCATAGGCAAATTCCAAAAAAATATGAATAATTACGGAGAAATTCCTTTAGATTTTGTGGTTTTAACTTGATTATCTCATTTTCTAACATGCCTTTTTGAACATAACACAATTGGTTTATAAACTCGTTAATAAGAAGATTTAACTAACACTCCTTTGGAAAAAAACGTGAATAGCAAAATGTTTTCCCAAATGGATGGAAATCCACAAGGGAAAAAAACTATGTTTTGAAGTTTGTAAAAGGTTAACTTGCCTAAATCTAGAAGTAAATGATATTACACCTAAAATAAATAATTGGGCCTTCAGGTATATAATCACCAATACAGATAAAAGATCAGCAACAGCATAACACTAAGACTATACATTTACTTTCTAGTCTACAAGCCATGAAAACCAAACATCCATTCTTAAGTTCTATGTAGTTTTAGTAGGAACATTAAATGCATGCAAACTGTTACCGTTTTATCCCTGAGTCGTTCTCCATGGATAAGAAAATCAGCACAGCTATTCTCTTCCTGGGGAATGACTTTGAAGACTGTGACACAGCTCAGTCCACCCCCTCCAAGTGGTAACCATCCACCACTTGAGTCATCCCGGGTCATCACCACAGCTCGCACTCGTGCATAACTATTACTGGAAGAGATGCAAAAGAATAAATTAGTTCTCCATAAATGCTAACTAGCTAAGTCTAGTTAAAAACAGAAAAAGTAAAAATCAAACCAAAACCCCAAATAAAACAACAAACTCATAACCAAGATTACGGTAATTTCAACTGTGAAGGTTCAGTCCTTCCACAACAATCCACCTAGAAGAAACCAGTATAAATTACTCTCTAAAAAATGTTCCTCTGGATTTTATGTCTTCATTAGGACTTCTTGGAGCTTACATGCAATTCCTTTTAAAGAAACTTAATCAGACTATCTAGTTCCTCAGAGTCAAACTAATATTCTTCTAAAAACTTTACAGTCAGTGATCTAGCTACAGAGGGCCAGGGGTGGGAAGAGAGTAAGCATCACCTCCCAATTTATTTTAGACTAATCATGAAGCCAGTCAGCCACCATGAAATTGCACAGAAAAGAGAACAAGAAAGCAGAAAGAGGTCAGGCCTTCTGCCACTGAAATCTAAACAAGAACAGGCTTCTAGCCAGAAACCCTGCTCGCCTTCATGCCTTCCTCCCTCCCCCCAGCTCACATAGCCTGTCCTTTGCAAGGGTAGGTCAGGACACACAAGCTGTGGGGTTCCACAACAGAACCAGTTACAGCAACTTAAAACCGAATATTTGCAGTGCCTGCTAGCTGGTTCTCTCCTGTATTTGCAGTGTGTGGAAAATTACTTAATTTTAAAATTTAACAGCTTTTTCCATAATTTAGCATTTTTATAAAATAAACAAATGGCTATCACTTCATTACTCAAAAATCAAACTCCTTTTTTGGAGTCCTGGATAAAGTGTTTTGTGATCTTCTCTCAGCTTTTATTCCTTCTTTTTAAACCAAATTAAACATATTTAGTTTTGGTTATTTTGCCACAACAGCTGGAAAACCCCATGGTTTACCAGAGATGCTATAAGATTCAACATTTGAAGTATGGTTTACTGGAGGAATGCAATACTCCATGAATGAACACTCCAACACTTTAAAAGAAATAAGCTTCACAATATCTTTTGCAACATATTTCCGATTGAAGGTTTAAGTACTTACACTAGTTAGCATTAGTGATGTCAAATTTAAGGACTGAACAGGAAATATTAGAAGAGGACAAAGTTGTTCCTACTGTACAAAATTATCTGTGATATAACCATTCAAACTGTTGCATTTTAAAATGATCACTGCTTTTTTCCCTTTAAGTGTCCCAAAATAACGGAAGGTAGGCTTTCTTGCATAATTAATATATTATGTTCTCTCACACACATACACAATTCACACATATGATTCACATATATATATAAATATATTAATTTTGCTGCAAGCATCTAAAGCTTAAATGCATAACAGTTTGCAAAATGGGAAATAAGACTACCCAATTTTAGCTTATAGGCAAGATAATTTTTTATAGATACTTTGTTTGCCCCCTCTAAGCAAGAAAACAGCCTCCTCCTCCTAAATATCCTAACTAAAATGACAGTTCAGTCGGTGATTCTCACCACTTCTGTACCAACATCTTTTAGTAACTCTTCCCACACAGCAGACAAATATCATCAAGAAAAATCCAACCTTTTATTGTATGCATCTATCAATTCTAATATCTGCAAATAAAAATGTCTATAACTTGATGCTTAATAATATTACTGAAAGCTGAATCATTCATTGCTCTCTATCCCTTTATTTCACTCAGACATAAGTTCAGATTGTAGTTTTACACTTCAGACGCAAGTAGCCTTTTGTCTCATTTCTCTCAGGTGAAGATCCTCTTCTGACAGTGAGGACATGGGGACTTTCCTCTGAAACAGCAAGAAACTGGTTAAACCTACACACTCTTTTTGTTACTTTCCATTCAAGTGAATAACAAGTTTAGCTTTAAAGTTATTAATTCTATAAATTTGGTTGTAAAACCTAAGAGGTTTCTTTCATATGCCAACAGACTGCAGCAAGAGTTCAGTTAGCATCAGTTAGGGATATCACAGAAATTCACTTAGGCTCCATGAGAAAACTTGAACCACAGTAAGTTAATTTTTATTATCTTTATTTTTTAATAGTGTTTACACATCCATTTTCTTTTCAAGAATTTCTAACCAGAAGCAAAGATGAAGGATACCTATATAAGGCTTAGAAACTTCCCCTTGTCAGAAGCTGCCTGTATTTTTTTTCCCCTTCCCTATATTAAGACACCTTGTCTGGCCTACTTAACAATATGGTGTTTTGCTTCCACATTTTCTAAACGGTTTTAGAAAGCATTTATACTTCCAAATATTTTAGAAACTGCTGTCAAATCCACTGCATTAGTGTAAGAGCTAAAATAAAATTCTCCAACAGGTAACATTTAATGAGTAACCTCTTAAATGGAAACAAAACAGTTTTTCCAGACAACTGCCCTGTAAATTAACTAGACAAATAAATAATTGCACTTGCAACAATGCCAAAGACTATGAAGAGATTTCTTAGCTTTTACTATTGGTTGTTTTTTAACATTTTAAAAATATTTTAAAGGAACTCACAATTGTTAACAATAGTTATTTTTAGTAATGATACAAACTGGTTTGCAATTAGCTACAAAGCAGCAGCAAGACAGTGATTTCCATTTCCAGAATCCTCTGCAAACAAAACAGCTTCTGCCTGTCAAACTACCAGTGCTACCAAAACCACTCAGATGTCTTGTATCTCTAAGCATCCCATCCACTTTGGAACAAATTGCTGAACTGCTGGTATTGCTTAGCTACGGGGAAAAAGGCAGACAAGGTTCCAGTATTATATCCCACCGTCCCTATAGCCTTTTATTTTACCTATGCTTGCACATTTAACAACTCTATCAGGAATAACAAAACCAAAGAAAACCAAAGAGGGCAATCAAGTTGATCATTGCTCTTGTGAAGCTCTTTACTAGAGCTACCATAAGTATGTGAAATGCAGTACGAAGTACAGTATTGCAACTGCAGGCCCAAGACTACTTTATCACATCCAACCTTTCCTGAGACTCCCTGACTGGTGGTTGTGGCCACTGGAAACTCTGGAGGCAGAGCAAGATTTACAGGAAAAGTGAAATAAGACTCTGTCCATATGAGCATGCTGCTTCCCAAGCTTCAGCACTGAGCACCAGTGAAGACCAAGGACAACCACATCAGAATCCAAGACCAGTTTCTAACAACTATGGAAACAGGTGTTCTAACAGCTGTGTGCCTTATGTAAGGAGATGAGAGTATGGTATTCTTTTGTGATTATTGTGATAAACTGTGATGAACCAGAAAAACACAATGTTACCTACAGTGCAGTTAAGAGCTACTGAACAGGACAGCATGGGTCTGAATGGTGTATCTATTAAACTTGAAATTAAGTAATTTTAAGATAGCATAGCATATTATGTAGTTTCATTCTAAAAATATTACCAAATTAAGATGATTCTTCACCAAAATCAAAAGCTGGAGTGGGGTGAACTAAGAAGCCTGAGAAGGCATTAAGGGGCAGAAACAAAGGGCTAAAAAGAGGTAAGATGTAAGACTTAAAAGTCCCTGCCTGTCATCAACTTTATTTCAAGAGCATCAAGCATTAAAATCGGACCACAGGTCTTAAAAGCTCTCTCCTCCCTCCAAAAACCATGTGTTTGTGTCACTGTAATGCTCTTGGACCCAAAATGACTTACAACCGGGCTGACTAAACTCTTGTTCAAGTTCAGGAAGCATTCCATTTACCTAGACAAGCTGGGATCTTCAGCTCAGCAACTAAGAAACAACCCTGCTTTTTCTGGTGGGGGGGGAAGAACACAATTGTAATTTAATCACTGTCACTTTTAAAAATGAAAAATAAAGTATTTTGATAATTTGAGCTATTTATAATGTGTAATATCGAGCCAATTAAAGATACAAAATGTTATTACAACATTTGTCCTTTTCTCCATTAGCAATCAAAAAGAGAATGAAAGGTTAAGAATTTTCTGCCAAAATACTTTTCCCAGAGAAAAAGGGGAGATGTTGAAGGAAGACAAAAAAAAAAAAAAAAAAAAAAAAAAAAAAGAGCTGTCTTATTACATTATGTTTATTTTAACCCTATTTCAACAGTATGTAAATATTCCCTCTCCTAGATTCATATTAAGCATTGCCATTATTTTATTTAAATACAGGACTGAAAAATACTATCAGTGGTCTCAAAAATAAGAGACAATTGAATCACAGAATCATAGAATGACTAGAGTTGCAAGGGACCTTAAAGATCATCTAGTTCCAAGCCCCCTGCGTGGGCAGGGACACTTCCCACTAAACCTGGCCTTGAACACCTCCAGGGAGGGGGCTTCCACCTCTCTGGGCAACCTGTTCCAGTGTCTCACCACCCTTACATGAATGTCTAACCTAAATCTACCCTCTTTCAGCTTGAAACCATTAGCCATCATCCTATCACTACACACTCTTGGAAAAAGTCCCTCCCCAGCTTTCTTGTAGGCCCCTTCAGGTACTGGAATGCTGCTATAAAAGTGTCCCTGAAGCCTTCTCTTTTCCAGGCTGAACAGTCCCAACTCTCTCAGCCTGTTTTCTTAGGAGAGGTGCTCCAGCCCTCAGATCATCAGACTACAAGACTCAGGGGTATCTTATCAATGTAGATAAATACCTGAAGGGAGGGTGCAAAGAGGATGGAGCAAGGCTCTTTCAGTGATGCCCAGAGATAGGACCAGAGGCAATGGGCACAAACTGGAACACAGAAGTTCCATTTAAACATCAGCAATCAATTTTTCACAATGAGGGTGCTTAAGTACTGGTACAGGTTGCCCAGAGAAGTTGTGTAGCCTCCATCTTTGGAGCTATTCAAAAGCTGCCCGGACATAGTCCTGAGTATCCCGCTATACGTGGCCCCGCTTGAGTATGGGGGCTGGGCAAGATGACCTCCAGAGGTCCCTTCCAACCTCAGTTATTCTATGATTCTTTTATTTAATATCGTATTTCAAAGCACAACATTTTTAATAAAACACATTTATGAATATAAATTTATAACTAAT